GCATAAGGAAAAGCAAGAGGCAAAATTTACTGGATTTTTACAAGACCTGTCTCTGCCAGTATATAGAGGGACTGTGTCTAATATGACCTTCAACAACTTTATTTTAATTTTTTCCCCCAAAAGAATTTATTACAACTAAGTTCAGAGCTTGAAAATCATTAATTCAGAATACAGCTATCTTGCAAATCTCTATCACTCACAAGGCAGTGGCCAAGTTCAAAGGCTAAACTGAACTTTAATTACGTTGAGAATCTTGCCAGAGAAGTTAAAGGAAAGGATCTTTTAGTGAGGTTATCTATGCCTGCAATTTGTACACTGCACAAAATGAAGTGGTAGGATTCTTATCTTTCAGGGATATATATAAGAATATCTTCTTTATCTATTGATGTAGCATTTGGTTTTCCTGTAAATACAGAATCTATACCTGGTGACCGTGGAAACTTGTTTTTATTTCTTAGCGTAGGGGAGAGAAGTTTCTAAATTGGTATGAAAACTTTACTGTATTTGTACTGGGGTAAGAGATGCAGTGATTATATAGATATACCTTATGCTGAATATTTGTCAGAAATCTTTAGACAGGTCTAATTGGGCAAATCATCTTGTTGAGAAGATTAACGGTAGTGAAGTAAAAAGGATGATGTAGTCAATGATGTAAAAGCAGAAGATGAAGAGGAGTTAGAGTTCTTTACACAGCCCTTTATCCTGTAAATTTTTTTTTTTTTGTGGTCTTGAGCTCACCAATGATCAGATGAGACCATGGCAGCTGATACCAGTACTGCAGAAAGAGCGAATCCTTGCAGTAGTTAGCCTATGGTAGAGAACATTTAGCTGGGGGGTGGAGGAACCTTAAAAGTATTGGCAGGAAGGTAAATATGAACATCTGTGAGTGTTTAAGTATACTTTTTGATGAATAGACCAAGAGACTACTTCTGTGTTTTCACGTGCTGACAATATATTTATTTCTAATTTTGTGTTCTTTCTGCCTGGAATATTCTGATGGAATATTGATAAAGATCTTACTGAAGAGGTCGATAATTCTGCATGTGTTACTTTAGTATATTTTTTCAAAGTAGCTTGCCATATGTCCAGTGACATGAAAGTAGATGATTAAATCATATGGGAATGGTATAATTGTCAGTTATATCTTCAGAGTTTAAGCTGTTCAGAACTTGCAGTTAGGCAACAAAAAATACAGGTCTCTAGAAAGTATTTTCCAAGCGCAGTAAACTTGAAGTTTGATTCAAACTTTCTTCCACGTCTGGGCAGGTGGAAGCAAAAGGACCAATGTTAACCTGAGAACTGCTGGTTTGAACTTGGTTATTGCTATGCCAGCTGGAGAGATGGAGTGCTGTTTGTTAATAGCACAGGATAGAACTATTTTCATAAGGAGAAAATGCAGCCATAAGAAGATCGTGGAGTTGTACTACCTGAATCCTTTTCCTGCAGAGTGCCGAGGGTGGGTGTAGGGGTGTAGCAGTGGTATGTGCTGTGCTCTGGAAAACATTTAGAAGCACGGGGACTTTGACATGCTTGGGTGTGCTTTGACTGCTGCATTTCTGTCTGTATAACCCTAATATTACTTATGAAAAAAAAAAATTATTCCGCATCGGTATGAAATGTATATGCATATGAAAATAATGTCAGAGAACATTAGAGGAATTCTAGAGGGTTTTTTTCTTTTTTTTTAAGTTGTCTTCTTGGCCCTGCTTGTGATCCCCTGTAATATATTCCTTCTGCCCAGATTTCTTTTTTGCCTTATCTGATGTTATGCATGTTTTTTAGGATTCGTTGTAATATAGCAGTACTTTGAAAGATGTGCTGATTTATATGAGGTGTGGGTTATATGGGTGAAAACACAATTTATTAAAATTTAATTTTGTTTTTTTTTTTTTATTATTGTAACTCATGCATCTGGATTAAACTTCACTCAGCATAAGAAGCATCTGGTGTTGGTAATTCTTATTAACAGTTTCATGTGGTAGCATTCAGGTGTATACAAATTATTTAATCTCTTGGGGATTTAAAACACTGTAAATGCTGGAAGAGATGATCTGGACTGTCTTAAAAGATCCCTTGGTAGCTGCCATAATGCTTTTCCAAGATAATTAAACCTTGAGTAAAGTGTTATTGTTAGTATCCTAGGGATGCTTACATACTGCAAATGCAGGGATAGTTGGGAGACACAAAACTCAAAACCTTAGCTTATTGGGCCAATGCTTCCTGTATAAGCTGCTACTTTTAGGCAGTGTGAACTCTTTTTACCTAACATGTTGAATTGCTTGGTGAAGAAAAAAAACCTACCTTAAGCTATCTTTAGTGAGGTTCTGCCAGCGATTTAAAGATTTTCCGAAAGACCTTTCTCCTGTAATCCTGTAGAAAGCACCATGCCTACAGGAACACTTGTGCTGTCATTAACAAGAGTTGTAGAAACTGGAGAATCTGTTAATTATTTTTCTGTTTGAAGACAACCGTTTTATTGAACCATATCCACGAACAAAAGCAGTGCATCTTGGAAACGGGCATCTTTCTTACTTTTGAGCAAGTGTGTAAATTTTTTTAAGAAACGATCAGATTTATTCTATTAGCATGAAACAAAGATCAGCTTTGTGATTTGGAGTACTAGCTGAATTTGCAAAGTCCTCCTAGATAGCTGAGGGATCTTTTTCTCCAGTGTGCATGTATTTACTCTTCATTTCAGGAAATCTGGTACACTCATAGATACACTCCTGCTGACTCTTAGGGATAAGTGGCCTGTGGTGGTGGAGATCTGACTGTGCCCAGGAGGTCATGAAGTCAATCTAATTAATTTAGATCGTTCTAAATCTTCAGTCCCTTTAGGCTGAAAACAAAACTGTAGTGAGTTGTAAGATCATTGTAGTTAGTCAGTGGATAGTCATGATCCTTGTTGGGGGTAAAACCCTCAAAAAGTTGAGGCAAAGGATGTCAGGTTTAAAACACTGTGTATGTTTTCTGCAAATATTTATTTTCATTTGAGAAGTAATTAGGTGGCATAGCCTTTAGATGATGTTTTGGTGGGTTCAATTAGCTGCTGACACAGATAAAGGGACTCATGAATCCTTCTAATCTGTTAAAATATGCATTTTGTACAAGAATAAAGAAGCTGTAATACTGTTGTTGATGTCTTTGAAATCTAACGTAAGAATGGATCTCTTCAATCTTTTTGAAATTGCAGCTTTCATACAGTAGGCAAAAAGTAGAATAATTTGTCAGAGTAACTCCTGAACTTTTTTGTAATAGCTTTCACAAGATGTTATACAGAAAGCAATATTAAAATATCTAAATGAAATAATCCATGTAATTACATACGCTTTGCTCTGTTTAATAGAAAAGTATATTGAATAACTGAACCCAAATTTGGTTGATTTTTGTAGTAAAAACTTACTTTTCAAAGTACGTAGTAGATCACGTACGGTAATGCATTTTTTATTTCTTACTTGTAAAATGCATTTCAGATGCATTTGGCTTATACTAGGTAAATTTGACACTTTAAATTGCTCAGCTGTTAAGGGTGTCTTCAGGGTTCACTGTCAACAGCTTAAAAAAAGAGAAGAAGAAAGAAGGAAAGCAACCCCCACAGAAAAACAAACTCCCAAACCCAAATTATTATATATGTTGTAATAAAAAGGGTCAGTCTTGCTTCTCGGGTGTCTAGGCTTCTATGATTTCATTTTTTTATCTTAATTGAATTTCAGATTTATTTAGAAGTAGTGGCCTGAATACCTAGGTTTTTAATCCAGGTGCATTTCTGTTTTAACAAACAAACAAACAAACAGATTGTGATGCCACAGAATATACTTCATGTTTAGAAATCCTGTTCAAGGGTAGACATGCTGTATACTCGTATTAAAAGCTTTGTTATACTCTTCTAACCGGAAACTTGATAGTTATCACTGAGCCTTTGTCTTTCTCTCCATCTTTCCCATCAAAACTGTGATAACAAAATGGCTTAATATATGATACCAAATCATGAAAGTTTCATCCAAAAAAATGAAGCACATTTTGAAACACTAACAGTGAAAGTCTTATTCGGCATTGTTGGAAGAGCTCCCATTGCTGCCTTAACCTTTCAAACAAGCCCTTAAACATACTTGCTTGCAATTTTGCAAAATGTTGAATACAGTTAGCTTTTTATATTAGAGAAACTTGACGTTCAGCACTTTAAAGGGCTTGCTCTTTACTACTTAATTTGCAGAACTTGGTAATTGGTAGTGTGTCTTGCCATCTGTAAGAAAAATAGTTTAATTTCCACAAAATATGTATGTATATCTATAAAAGGCATATAGAAATTAATCTTGTAAGTCTAGACTACATAGTTGAAATAATTTTTATTTAAAGTTTATTGCCTAATGTACCATATGTAGTTGAATAAACCCATTTTATAACATTCTTTTGTGTAAATGCATTTGATTAAAATGTTATGCCTGCTTAATTGGCTTCAGAGACTTGCATTTCAGTATTTTCAAGATGTCTGCAAAAGTTTACTTTGGCCACTTAAATGGAAGATAAAAATATGTTTTTTGTTTTTCACATTCCTTGTAGTCACCAGTATAATTCCAATTGCATTAGTTCAAATATATTTACAAACATTGCTTGGTTTTTTTACAATAAAATTTGATAGCTATTGAAAAAGTTAAAATATTATTTCTGCATAAATGTACATGAAATAGAGAGAACGTTGTGTATAATGTTTGTTAATATAAAGTCTGTGGTCTACACCATAAGTAAGAAAATGTGCAAGTGAGGATTCTGTGTATTGAGAATCTAAATTTTGTGAAGACGTCTGGCTCAACTTGTAGAGACATTGTTATATTTCATGCTTCAATTGCAGTTTAGAGAGAAAGGAAACAGTGGTAACTTATGTCTAAAATCAAGATCGTATTTTTATTTCTATGGGCAGTTTTGAAATTTTGCTCAACTAATAATTCATAAAGGAAGACAGACATTTTGACAAATACTTTTTTTTTTTGTTCCTTACACAGACAAAAGAAGTTGGTTTACTTGATGCAGACATATATGGACCTTCAATTCCAAAAATGATGAACTTAAAAGGAAACCCAGAATTAACATCAAGTAAGTGGAAGTGATTTTTCTTGCTGTCTTCTTTGTACAGGGATGAGCACGGGTCACTCATTGGTGCTTCCTTGGCGTGGCACAGAAGGGATGCAAACAGAAAATGAAGACTTAGTGTATTTTTTAAATTATTTTTTATTTTTAGTAATGAGGTTGCTTTCAAAGCTAGCTTGTACTACTAGGAGCATATTCAGGGTTGTCTTTTTTTTTTTATATTGGTTTACAGGCTTTGGGAGTTTCATGGATTATTACTAGAGACGCTGGAAAGAGTAGCTAGGAAAGGAAGATTATTGTCAGTAGTTTTAAACTTGCTGTACAGGATCCCACTATAGAAGACCTCCAAATTAAAAAAAAAAAACAACCACTAGTCTAGGAAAAAAAGAAGCCTGATCTAGGAAATAAGATAAGGATCATTACAGTAGTTTGTATAAAATGTCATTGAAATTATTGTGTTTGATCTCTCTTTCTTCAGCCAAACATGGCAGGCCACTTGATTCATTTTTGTTTGAAGTTGTGTGTTTAGGAATGCAGTGGTGGTGACTTCACTACCACAAGGTAAAGACAGTAGACAAAGCTCCTAATTTTCCTTCTGCTAGGAAGGATTCTCGTCCGGGGAAAAGTAAATTCAGGTAGGAGAGTCTGGAGAGAAATAAGGAAGACCTAAAGTAGAAAGGTTGCATCAAGTCTGTTTACCTTTCAGAAATTTAACCTGAGGGTGAAACTGAAGAATGGCTTTATCCTGATACCCTGTTCATGTGATGCTTGCGTGTAAGGGAGTGTGCTTTTTTGGGGGTGGTAGGGACACTGAAGCGATAGGATTTGTTTAATGCTTTTTTGCCTGTCCTGTGATAAAGTGCATGTAATTATAAAAATTAAAAATATGTAATCACAGACAAAAGCAGTCCCACACTATAACACCTGGCCTACACATTAAAAAGTACTAGGGTCCTACTGAAGAAAGTACAAACTCGCAATACTTCTTGACAGGGAGGGGTCAAGGGTGTGTACCAGTTCAAATAGGACATAAAAGGGCTTCAGTGAAATAATCAACTATAAATACCCATTAATGTTTGTGGGCAGTAATTGCTAGGTGAAAGGGAAGTTAAATATTCCTTCCTTTCATGCCATGATCTTTTTTTATTTATCATAGAATCATAGAATACTTTGGGTTAGAAGGGACCCTTAAAGGTCATCTAATCCAACACCCCCTGCAATGAGCAGGGACATCTTCAACTAGATCAGGTTGCTCACAGCCCCGTCCCACCTGACCTTGAATGTTTCCAGGGATGGGGCATCTACCGCCTCTCTGGGCAACCTGTGCCAGTGTTTCACCACCCTCATCGTAAAAAATGTCTTCCTTATACCTAGTCTGAATCTACCCTCTTTTAGTTTAAAACCGTTACCCCTTGTCCTGTTGCTACAGGCCCTACTAAAAAATCTGTCCCCATCTTTCTCATAAGCCCCCTTTAAGTACTGCAAGGCTGCAATAAGGTCTCCCTGAAGCCTTCCCTTCTCCAGGCTTAACAACCCCAACTCTCTCAGCCTTTCTTCATAGAAGAGGTGTTCCATCCCTCTACATCTACTCTGCTTTTGTTGTAGAACGTTGATTTGTAACTGATCTTAATTTGTGCATGTGTATGGGTGTTGTGGCGGTGGTTGTTCTATACATCCTCACTTGGTATAAAGCATGCAGAATGAAACAGTGCCAATACCTTTAAAGCTTGGTTATTGAGCTTGCAATGTTAACCTCTGAAAAATTAATAAGTGGCAAACTTAGGATTTCTTATGTAATTAAAATTCTGTCTCCTTATGCTTATACCCTGTACTCTGGATAAAGAAAAAGTAATGTATTTCCATATACGGATGCACTGCATGTGCTTGTACAAGCAACTGTCAAACTGAGTACTTTCTACATTTAAATACCTGGCTTACAAATACAGACTTTATTTAGATTAATTTCTAAGAGAGGAGGAGAGTACTTGGTTTTATTTGTTGGGCTTTCTGGTTTTTTTTTTGAAGTCAAAGGCTAATTCTGTTGTGTAATAAATAAATAACTGAACCCTCTCATGTATCATCAGTAGGGTTTGACTTCCTGATACAAATTGAAGTATTCTTGCATTCTCTTGTACTTTGGACCCCATTGAGGGTATACGTCATACAGGCTGTGTTTTCCTGTAACAGATTTTTTTGCTATGAATTTTGCATTTGAAGTGCTTCATGTAATATGAACACAAAAGGGACTATGTTGTGGTGTTCTTCATATCTCTCCTCCTTTCCTTTTTATGTTACATTGACTTTTTCCTTTCCAAAGGAGACGAGGTAAAAATTTGATTCTCCATTTTTTTTTTCCTCACTGTCTGAAAAATTGATTAGGTAACTTTGAACTTCTTACACATTTTGCTATGTATTTTATCAATCCATACCGAATTTAAATCCATGTCATGAGCCACAAATAAGAAGTGAGTTGCCCAGTCTATTTCATATGGTGATACAAATTAACTTGCTAGGAATGCAAGAACTTAAGAGTATATTCAGTCAGATGTTAGGGCAGCTCAATTTTGTTTGTATATAAATTTCAGTGACCGTAGATATTTTGGGTATACAGCTGAGAATTCCTATAAGCTTTTGTCTTAACATGTTTCGAGTGTCGTTAAAAATACGGTATTCAGTGTAATAGAAAGAAATCGGAGAATTTCCCTGCATTGAAATTGCTTCTGTTGACTTGTAAGCACTAACATTTTGATCGCTAAAATGTGTTCTTTCTACTTCTGTGTGGAATGTACAAGCAGATATTATCAGGATTTAAGAACATACCTTATTTTTCAACTGACAGAAAATGAATTTGCGTATTTCAAAAGCTTGGCACGTTACACAAGTCTACTGAGAAACTCATGTAGTAATTCAGTATGAAGGATAACAGAACAGAATTTGTATTTCTGGAATTCTGTTCACTTCTCTCTGCACTTTTAACTCTTGAGTTGATGAAGCTGTAGAGCAACAACAGTGAAACTGCTGGCAAAGTAGCTGACATTAAGATGATTTCATTGTGAAAATAGGAATTTGGAGGGCGTAGGAAGCTTTAATTGTGAACTTCAAGGATTCCTTTAATGAGTGACAAATAGGATAAGCTTGCAAGGAAGTGATCCGTCATAGGTGTATATATATGATGTATATATATAAGTGTATTTCTACTATAGATAAAAAATATGTATGACCCTTGTATTTTGGTATAATGAGGTTTAGTGTTATTTTCTGATTTCTTACTACATTTTCAAAAATAAAACATAAACTCTGAACAAATATTGTTTTGTACAGTAATTGAGCAAACCCAGGCAATTCTGTGTTAAAGATGTGCATTAACAATGTATACATAACAATAAGTAAATCAATGAAAAATATTTTTTCTAATAGCATAACAATGAAAAATTATGTCTAAAGCCTATTGCTGTCTTCAGTGTGAGGCCTGGATTTGAAAATGAATCTGTAGAGTAATCCTGGGAGGCTCTGAGCACTCTTGCACTCCTTGATTTCTGTTTCTTTTCTCACATGTAGCAGTTGAAAAGGTATTAGGGATGCCTGATACCATACAGAATAAATCTGTGCAGCAATTATTACTTCTGAATAGAAATTATTATAGTTAGGCTATAATTTAAGTTTTCAAAATGAATTAGGAGTTCTTAGTGAGTCTATATAAATGGAAGATACTCCATTAATTTAATTTTGCAAACTGTGGTACATTGAAAAGTCTGCTAACATCTAATAGGGTGTTATTCAAAATACTTTAACTAAGTGGTCAGGGAAATATTGGTTAATAAGTTCACAACTGAATTTAATTAGCTAATGGAGGATTATCTAACTATGAAATAAATATTGACATCAGCTACAATGTATACACAGGGCAATGCTTATAACACAAGTAACAAAAGCATTACTTCTATTCTTTCCCCAAATAATTTACTTAAAAGCCGTTTTCAGGCTTAGTGAACTGCATAATTTCATTTTTTCCCCTTTTTTTTTTTTTTTTAAATCTACTGTTTAAACTAGTTGGCAGAGAGTAAAAGCTATTACATTGCCAAAGAGATATTGCCATTTTGCCAGATAAATATAAGATTTCTTCACTTAATTTAAATGATTATGAAGGTTTTGCTGAGCTCTTTTTCTTTATGACAGTTGAGTGCTCTCTTAATATTTCAAAACTTTGTTGCCATTTTATGATATCCTCAGTGTCTTTTTTTATTTCTTAATAAAATAGTATATTCAAAAGATCAGTAGTGAGCATCTGTTTTCAAAATTTGGAATAAAAAGTAATTTCTGAGAAAAAGCTAGCAGTAATTGTGTCTGGCCCCATTGAGTCTAATAATGTTGCAGGAGCTATAGAAGTGAAATTACTGATAAAATTCTAAAGTCGGAAATGGACTCTTGTGTTTTTTCACTGCGACATGGTTACATGTCTGCTACTCTTTAGACTGTGATAGCAGAAAGTGATAATCTAAAATACCATCTGTTGTGACCGTTTAAAGATGTCTCCTGGAAATCAAGGGATTGTGGTGCATCCATTTGAGGGTTATAAATAGAAAATTTGGAGCGAACTAGTTAAATAGAGAAAATGTTACATAGGTGGGGTAGTTAGAGGTAACCATGAAGAAGTTTCTTGATCTTACATAAGGGTTTAATTTTAAAGATACAGCTTGTATTTTCAAGGTTGTTTTTATCATACTTTACCAGTGGAACTACATCATGATTAATTTAAATAAAAACTAAATTTGATTATTTCAAAAAAGTCATATTTGCTACTGCCATTACCTCTTGATTTGTGAACAAGTGATTTTTAGATTGTGTATAATCTAATGGTATGCTTTACTGATTCCCTTTTGAAAGAAGTCTGAACTGAAACCCTGTGTTTTACTTTTTGTGATGTCTTATCCCAGTTAATCTGGATGGCTGGAGTAGTCCCATGTGTCTTACATGTGACAAAATAATAATTTGGAATATTGTAATTA